AAAAAAAAAGCCTAGCCACAGGATGATACAATTTAAAGTCTTGCCATATTCTTTTGGGAACGAAGAGCAGGATAAAGAGGCCTTTAAAAACACTTCGCAAAAGTAAACACAGACCTAGGGTACCGCCTTTGCCAAAAGTAAGATTTGGTGTAAGGTAAATCAGAACATACCAGTGTAGATGACTGCTTTCCACTGCTTCCAACAAAAAGGGTGGGAGAAGCTGGCCTTCTGTAAATGAAATCAAAATTCAAATTTCTCTTAAAATAGCTTACAAGATATACAAAATTATACAAGGTATAATTACGTAGTTCACATACACAATAGTTTCCAGATGTATTCGTTTGCCTCACGCGGTAACTCTAGTGCAGGGAAAAACAGGGCTTGTTTGGATCAGGAAACAAAAGCACAATTCAACTTATTATTCCATGAGTAAAAGAGAGAATGTATTCTAGAATGGAAAGATGTCAGAGCAATTCATCAGCCGAAGGACAGTTCCTGTTTTACTAACAGACCCAGCAACACATCTAATTGCAGGGAAAAGAGCAAGCATGTGAGGGAGGGGGGCGGGGGGGGAGCACTGTTCAACGGGTAAATACTATTGTGTTCAGAAAACAAGACAAACTCAGAAAATTGTCAAAATGCCATTTTGGTCTTTATTTTTGGACACGCAGCATGTTTTCATAAATCAGTGTTATATGTGCTCATTTTTATAATATCAAAAGAAATACAATATATTTTTCATAAATTCCCCATCACTGCAAGTTCACTTTCAAATAAATGTAAGTAGCGGGGTAGAACAATATGTTTCCACATATTGACCAGTGCAACACTGACAGTTACGATTAAGGTATCCAGGAAGCCTGAAAATTAAGATTTATGAGAACAAGCAAATTTACTTCCGTTTGTTAAAAACAAAGGAAATAATTCTGATTTGCAAATTACATACTTTACATGCAAGAAGTTTAAATCCCATTTCCACCTGAAACACATGGCAATCTTGAAAATATGCTAAGAAACAAAAATAGAAGAACCAACAGTAGTATGCCCTTCAAAATTGCTGAACAGGATACATAAAAGCAAAGGTTATAGTTGCGTGTTTCGCCGTGAATACTGGCACTGTTTCATATTTATATAAATCCGTTCCTGTGCATAAAAATCCCAATGAAATTTAATGGTTTAGGTCAGTCCATTTTTCTTTCACCAAAGAACCGTTAACTTCCAGGTTTTAAAAACCGCACTCCCGCGTTTGTGTTTCGGCACAAAACACAAACATATTCCCTACATTATTGGTGGCAACCAGTTAACAGGCATGTTAAGATACTTTTTAAAAAGAAGTTTTGTGAATGTTATCATTAAAGAAAACAAGTCCCGTCAAGGATCACAATACTGCCAGAATCTATCTAGTGCACCAACGAGTGCCTCGTTCTTTTGATTTCACAGTCCTTGATCACAAAAACTTATTCTAAGGAGTTCAAGGAGTTCGTAAGACACACCATGTGGATAATTTGGGGTTTAAAAACCCATGGCTCTGGGCAACAACGATTACAGTGAACAACACACATCCACACAAGAGACTGTGTTCCTAACATTTTCAAACTCAATCTGCTATAAATAAAACATTCTGGGGCAAAGACTTTTGCATACTGACGATACTTCTCAGACATCAGCTAGGCCACAAGTGAAGGGACGTGGCTTGCATCAAAGGTACAGGGTAGCAGCTGACTTGGAGACTGCACACCTCGTACGTTCTGCTCGGAAGACATGAAGGCATGTACAGAGGACTAAACGATGCACGGAAGCACGTGGAGGGTTTCTCTGCACTAGCATCAACAGTGATATCGGTCCCTAGTATTTCAAAAGAAAAGGTATTTTCATAAACACAAACGAAGACGAAGGCTCTACCTAGAAGAACGCATGTGACAAGGTCGAAGAAGTAATCAGAGTATGCCGACAGTTTCTACCCGGCATTAAAAGCAGGAGCATTTTTGGCATGTTTGATATTTTACCAGCTTGTCAACTGTGACTACAGAGAAGTGAGCCATCGGAGTGATCAACAAAGAGCGCATGTGCCCCTGGTCCTTAACAGCAGGAAGTGTCTGGTTCAATGTTCTACACAGAGTAGGTGCTTAAAACATGCTACTAACTGATGGACCATCTTACTCAAGAAACCTGCTGACGGTACGTAACACTGAGTGAACCAAATCAACGGCTACGAACAGGACTTCAATGGCTATGACGTGTGTGAACAGGACTCAAAGTAGTTCGTATCGTTGTTGTACTTCCCTAAAGAAAACTTGTAAACATCTGGTGAATGTCTAATTAATGGTAGAACATTTAAAATTGGCCAAAAAATGCCCAGAAAACATTTGGCCCTTCAGCACCCAAAGCTCCCAAAATATAATGTTAAAACATCTCCGTTAAAGGGATTTCAGTAGTCTGAAAAATGTCATACCTGAGTGGCTTAAATGTTCTCTCCTAAATTTTAAGTAAGTGCAAGGAGTTTCTACACTCAGGAGTTGCATAAGTTTTTATCTTTCTTCAAAATAAAACATTGAATGGTATAGAGGTAGCATAACTTACTAAATGAACTTTAAAAAAAAAACAAAGAAAAAAGCAAGGTTATCTTCGATAGTCTTAATAGAACTATCACAAATGTGTAAAATGTTACAATCCAGGCTTTCTTCTACCTGGTTTTAGACATCGCATCATTCTTGCCCTCTTTTTTACTGGGAGGGTATCGAGGAGTCCACGCCCCGTCTGGCCCTGTGGCGTCTATTGCAACGTCGATGACAGAATCTGGAGTCACCCATCGCAGGAAAACGAGGAAGAGAAAGTTGACTACAGCCAACAAAGCAAAAATGTAGCCCGTCACCGGACCGCAGTGAGAGATGAGTCTGTCCAGTCGTCTGTCCATCGGTAACACGGCTTCTCCTGCCACGCGGTCGTACACCTGGCAGAGAGAGGCCAACAGTGAGCACTGTAACCCACGACAAACAACGACCCGCGCCAACCAGGAATGCTGTACAGATGCAAAGTGAGGTCGCTTACATTTTGTTGCTGTTGCTGTTTTAGTAATGATGTGATGAATACAATCACGGTCATTATTGTCATTTGATTCAACACTTATAGAGTGCTTATTCTGGCCAGAACACTGGGCTACACTCCTGGCCTCTGGGGCATCACCACCAAACTTAACCAACTACGAGAACTCCAAAGTCCTGAGAAGCCGGAGCCGCCTTTCAGGTCACGTCTGTCGAGGCCGTATTTAATGCGGCAGTGAATTCCTGAAGCAGGGCTGGCCTTCTAAGGTTCCGGGACGCGGCTGAGATGCTCTCACCACTAGCCCCCAGCAGAGCTCTAATCTAGTGCGCTTCTGGGTAAGAGAGGCCCTTCCGTCCACAGCCACCTGAGGCCGTGCTGCTGAGCACAGATGGTGAGCACATACACAAACACTTTGTAGATTCCAAACGGAAGGAAGGGGGAAAAGATGGGGGACATTTTAGCAGATGGCTCAGGTCGGACACCGGCACCTAACGCAAAGCTGACTGCCGAGAACTGGTGGCAGGTGGCGTGCTTTGTGAAACACCGCCAAGCACGGACCTCAGAAGTATTCCAAACAAAACCCCACGAAGACCCGTAAACATGTTTGTTTCGAACACAAACGAGGCCAGCATTTATGTTTCAACAGCCTCTCAGCATTCCTTGCGGTCCTTCCCACACAGCAGACCTGTGCGCCGCCTCTTTGAGAACCCAAGGAAGTTGTGACACGCGGTGCAGGTGCCACGGGGCAGCGACCTCTGGAAGGGTGCGGGCCGTTTTCGGCTAGCTCTTCCACCTTCCAAACATCTGGGACACATCTCAATCAGAATTATGCGGGCACTGCTGAATTAGGATAGTTGAGAAAGTATGCTTCCAGAGTGAACTCCAATTCAATTTCTTCATCAAGTTTCTAAATAGCACGGTTAAACTACAAAGCAGGAGTTGAACAGGATCAAAATGGCCTGTGTGGACCTGGCAGAATTAAAAAAGCAACTCCAAATTCTCTATTGCTGCTTTTTATTTGTGATCCTGTTTGCAACATCTGTCACGTGCATTTTGAGTCCTCACTCATTATGTTCTCAATCAGCCCAAAGATGCCAAACTCCTCTTCCCACGGAAAATCACATTACTTAGCAAAGGTGACACAAGGGTTTCGGGAAGTAGCCCAAACTAAATGTTGGCCGCAATCTGACTCAGCAAAACCATGCATTCTCTAGTAGACCCACGTGCTGTAGAATTAGAAGCAGCCTTAAGAAAACGTCTAAGAGTAGAGTTTAAGATCAGTTTTGCCTTTAACTGTTGTGACTTCCTAGAAAACTTCCTCAGGCCCAATTTAATGAAGGGTCTAGATGGCATTACCACTATTTTCAGATGTCAAAGGCAAGGACTTGACTAGAAACAGCCTAGCATATACCAAAAGCAGTACACGGTTCGTGTCTTCTCATCGGAAGAGACTTCGTAAACTTAAGGAACAGAGAGGATAAACCTAGAGAAGAAATAGCAAACGTGTACACAAAACGCCAAGAATTCAGACCCAATCATTCAAATACTCTTTGCTTAGCACATGACATACTTTTTCAGTTCTTTCCGCAACGTTCCTCCAGGTGTAGAAAGTCTTTACGATGTTGTGAATATCTTCGGGGGCTGGCAACGCTCCTGATTTGAGTTGGGAAATCGCTTTTTCCAAACCCTCGCACAAGGACTTTACAGAAGGCTCACACAAAATGATCAGATTTTCTGGAAGTACTTCAGGAATCCCGCCAACCCTGGTACTGACGACCTTAAGAAGAGACAAAGAACACACGACACACCATAATTCGTACCTCAGGAAAAGAAGCCAAACCAACTTGAAAAGTCGTTACAGAATGTGTCTGATTATTTTTCAGAATGCAAGTACAGAAACCCCGACAGTGCAAGGCCTCAAAGCTTTTTACCTGTAAACCGCAACTGGCTGCTTCCACAATTGCCATGCAGAACGCTTCGGTAAGGGAAGTATTAAGAAAAATATGTCCTTGAACTAAGACATTTCTAACATCCTTGTGTTCTAAGGCTCCCAAGAGACGTACTCTGATTTTTGAAATGAGAGAAGAAAGAGGGGAGTGAAAATCTTGCTAGAAAAGAAATTATCATTTAGAAGCCAAGTGTGCTATTCATACTGTACTTAGATTATTGCTGGTTCTGATGTTTTCCACCTCAAAAAAGGTTAGCATCTCCAAACTCTTATCTAAGAGTCTTTTAAAGCTCTTTGGTTCAAACCCACACGGCCAACATATTTCGAACTTTTGTCACGCCTACAAATTTCATCTTTTCCAAAATTGGTTGGCATTTAATAAAGATATTAATATGCTTTGATGAGTAAATATCAAAGTCATTTCTAAAGAGGAAAATGCCCCTTCTAAACGGATGTCTCACAGCAAACACGGTTCTAAGTTACTGAGAAAGAGAAGTACGTGAACCTGTACGTGCAGGGCAATTTACACGACTTGGGCCACGCTATAGAAATCACCACTCAGCAAGCCTTGAAAACGCGCAAACATTTCCAAAGCGTTGGCGTGTGCATGCGTGGATGTGCGCACGCGCACACACACCTTCCAGGGTACCTCCAACCACTGCCCCCTAGAGTCCAATAATATTGGGCTAACAACAACAACAACAACAAAAACAATTAAACTGTGAATCTTAAACTAAAGTTTCCCATAGTACATACATTTTTAAAAAAAGAGACCTCGCGTCACATTTGTACATCAGGTACATGTAAGAGAAACAACCCACTTAACACACATCACCCAAACTGAATTTAGGTAACTGGTATTTTCTCACCCAAGGCAGTATGGAATCCATCAATACCTGTCATGTAGCTGGTACCTTTCCCGTACTTCTTCCAAAATGATTCTCTTAGGTCCCTCTCCTCCAATTATGAAATTTAAATCTGGATATTTTTGACAGAGTTCAGGTATTATACCACTAAGCAAATCAGTCCCTAGAAATATAAAATAAAGGTGAATGTTGGAAAGAGTAATATTTAAACCTAAAAAAGTTCATCAGAACTGAGAATCCACTCACTTTGAAGAGTATTAGCCATGCCCTCCTTAAGTATAGAAACGAACTCTCAAACCTTTCCGGGGAAGGTGGATTCCCTGGGATCGTCCAAACTAGGACTCATCTCCTGCAAGTTGCAATTCTTAAAGACACATACATTGACACATCCTTTGTTACCCAACACACGGACTGTTTGGTTTCACTGTAACGGAACATTCTTCAAGGTACTCGCTTGTGTTTACATATCACCTGTTATAAAACAGGTATTTGAGGTAGCTGACATCGGAGTTCGTTTTCTACAAGGCTGGACAGCTGACCGGAGATCTAGCTAGGTCCTGTCCCAGCCGTTTTAGGGGCAAGCTCTTTGACCAAGGGAAAGTTTTCTGATATAGAAAATGAAGAGACCAGGCGTACCTGAAGTCCAAGATCTCTTTCAGCTACCAACTTTCTCCCAGTCTGCGTTCCACTTCCCGCCCTAGGAAAGGGCCAAGTGACAAAGTAGAACTGCAGCCTCCACTTTGACAATGTGATTTGTACAGAGGATTTTACAGCAAACACTATGGTGTTTGGGAAATTGAAAAGAGTAGTCCATCCAAACCTGCTAGGGCCGCTTCCCTTGAATGACAGTAAACGAAGGTGGCAGGACCGCTACTGCTAGGTCATTAGAGTCCGTCAGAACAAAAGGATGCATCTTGGTTCCTTTTTGTTCTTTAATGAAACAAACACTCTACTTATAATGTGGAAATACCACCTCGGATAATATAAAGCAACAAAATAAACCATGCTCTTCTAGTCTGAAAGTGGCTATCCAGAGTGACAGCATGTTGACACTATTTGGGAATTTAGTTAAGTAACATTTATAAATTGGACACATTCAAAAGTGAAAGTAAATGTAAAATAACCCGGTTAAAGTTTATTAATTTAAGAAATACATACACATACACACACACACACACACACAAGAATTGCACTTCTTCTCAGTCCTTCCCAGATACAGGCAGATCAATTATAAAAAAAGATGGTGGGAGAAATTATATATATGGCGTCATTTTTATTAAACAATTCAAAGTAGGACTTAAGTAAACTCCGCTATTTTCAAAATATGATTGCATTAGCAAACATAAATTCACTGCGACTTTTCTGAACTATGAAGGCTTCTCATTAAAATCTTAGCTATCTGTGTTTCCAAACAATTACCAAATCGATCCATTGGATTTCTACATAAACTAGAAGGTGGCTTAATGACTTTTACCATTTAGTGTCCTATAGTTCTTTCATTTTCTTTCTTACCTTTCCTTCTCCCTTCTATTACGAAGGTTAAGAACCCAGCCTTCTAATGAAAAGTGCAATACACATAGCGTACTAATTATAACTGCTGATAACAACATTTACTGAGCAGTTACTGCATTAGGCAATGCCCTTGAAGGGTGCGAGGTCATGGAATCCCGACAACTACCTTATAAGGAATGGAAGTGATTAATACTATCAATGATCTATATTATTATTCTAGGAATGAAAGGGTTTTCCCAAACAATAAAATATTCTCCTGCCTCTGAGAAGAGTCTAACACAATGGAACATACAAAAGGACTTGCAATTGCCATAGTCACACAAAACAGACAAAGAAAAATCATGATACAAATGGCTTCTAAAGCTCAGTCTAACATATGTTAAAGAAACTTCTGAATCTACACCTAGACTCTGGGCCAGAGGTGAGGGAACAGGAGACCTTAGTTCAAGAGCTGGACTCTTGTTTGCCATCTCTGATACTGTATGACCTGAGTGAGTTACTTACCCTCTCTGAGACTCAGTTTGTTGCATGCAGATAACATCTACCCTACAGTTGTTGGGAGGGTCAAGTGAGGTACTGTACCATGTACAGGCTTTATCAACTCCACAATATAAATGGAAGTTGTCATCACCACCGCAGCAAGAAGGGGGGCGTGCCTGCACACATGCAGGAACACTGGGAGACCCTGACTGAGCACAACAGGCTCTGGCGAAAGGGAAGAAGGCAGCCAGGGAAGCTCAGGAGTAAGAAGTGGGATTTCTCCTCTCTCACTCAATACACTGCAGTGGGCCTTTGAGAACTGGTCCAAAGGAACACCTCCTAAGGAAATTAACTAGTTGATAATTAATGGACCATAAACACAACTACTCACTTTTGGGCTAGAGATGTGGCTGTTCCTTCCGAGAATGTTACTTTTTGTACAGTGCCTGGCGTATGGAGCGGGTTCGCTAAATACTTGTTAAATGACCGAATTGAGAATAGGACAGGCCGTGCCTTCCCTCTGTCGCTGGTAGTTAGCTCAGCGGGCTCGAATACCATCGTTAGTGACGTAAAGGTAACAGCTTTAGTTTGTACCAAGATTTCATTTTGCTCTGATCCTCGACCATGCATGCACCACACTCATTCTCGGCTAGCTAGTTCACCGCTCTTTTAGCTATGTGACTAAAAGATAGCCTAGGCGCGTTTTCTAAGTTGCAACACATCACCAGTATCCCCACAGGGGTTTCCAAGAGAGACTGCGGGTCCATTCACATCTTCTTGATTAAAGAAAGGAAGCACACCGAGAGAGCATGCCTTCACCCCAGAAAACGCAGCTCAACAGTTTCCTCACCAACCTCCACTTAAGTGGACTGCTGGACCAACCAGGGCTCCCTTCCAAATGTAAAGCATACTGAGCAAGGCCCGCGTCTGCACCGTAGGCCACTCCTGGGCACACTGGTACACTTCCGACCCCACCGCTGAGCTGCGTGCTGAGAACCAGCCGCACTGGTCCACGTACGTCTGATGCCAGCTACGCTTGGTAATGGGGGAACTTTGGGAACGCTGGGTAATTTACGTAAATGGCACATCAACTGACACAGTTAAGTTCCTATGAGACTAAGCTGAACGGTATGAAAAATTCAATAAAGGAAAAGTTACACCAGAAAGCTCTTGTCCGATTAGGGGATATCCTAAACCACTGTGTCAAATCAAGAACAAGTCAAAAATCTCGAAGTACATGATTTCGTACACCTTTAAGTTCTCACCCCACTTAAAGAAGCCCAAATCGGCAACTACAAATAATGACGCTTTTGAAAGGTGGCCGTGCGAGAAAGATGGCACAGCTCCAACCAGCGGACCAGTACTCTTACGCCTGGAGGCCCACATCCAACTACTTACTGGCAACGCAGTGTGTAATAACATTCTGAGTTAAATTCAAATACTTAAGGGAGGGTATGGATTATTTTTTTTCAAAAATTCCCTACTTTAAGTGATGATTTTGATTACTGGACAGGTTTTTCAAATACCATCCAGAAGACCACTTAGGTTCTGAATAACCAGACCGTTTCATGCTTTTAGTAAACGAGGCTCTACAAATGCTATTGCGGTGTCCATTAAGTGCTGCAGAGGCACTAAAAAAAAAAATCCTCCTTGATAATGGCAGACACTTATCAAATACAAACTGGCCTAAGTACTTTACAGGAACCATCACTGAACCCTCACAAGATTCCTGGTGTTGCCCAAACCGTACAAATGAAAAAACTGAGACTCAGAGAGGTTAAGCAGCTTGTCCTCACACAGTGGGATGCGGGGAGGATCAGGCTCCAGGCTGTCTAATCCCCCTGCCTTCACCACTTACCTGCCCCCAGATTATTAACACCTTATCTACGATTAAATGAAATAAGCTATAAAACGGCAATGTTCAGAACAAGCTGACTTTGAGGAGATGCATAATAGCCAGGAAAGCTAGAAATTGAAATATTCCTAAAGGTCATCCCTGAATAGTACAGTTACAGCTGATTTTACTTTCCACCTCTGTGCTTTTCTTAGTTTTCAAAATATCTGCAGTGAAAAGGCATTATTTTTGCAATCAGAAAGAAAGGGCTATGTGGTGGCTTAGCTTCTCACCTCTTACCACACACACAGGGCTGTTTAACCTTAAAAAGACCTGACTTACTCAACAACATCAGATTACTGTTTTTAAGTAACTATTAAAACATCAAAGGTGGGGGGTGGCATTCACCACCATTTCAAAAAATCTGGGGGGATGTATCAAACAGTATTACACCTTCCTTTGCTATATTTAATCCAGAAGTGGTTATGAGCCCATAAAACAAAACGAAAAGCCAAACAATCATTACATACAAGTATTCAACAGCTTTCTACAAGAAACAAAAGTCTGTGCAGTGCAATTGTAGCTATCATTTCATTACCTTTTCTGTAAACAAGTCTGCTGACAACAACAACAGTTATTATACTATCATGCCTTCTAAATGGGTCTGGAGTGAAGTCAGTAGGATCTACAGCATTAGGAATGACGGACACTATTTCAGGATTCAGTGCTGCTCTTAGCACAGTGTTTTCCTTACTAGTATAAGAGACACAAATTATGTGGTTTGTGTCACAAAGAGACACAGTTAGAAGCTTGTTTGTAAGCACCGAGCTGACATCAGCAAATCCAAAAAGGGAGTGGTCCGTGAAGACTGTCTGGAGCCCCATGGTCTTGGCGTGGAAGAGGGCATCATGGGCCATGGCAGAAAAAGAACTATGTGAATGTATTATCGTGACTCTCTCCCGAACAAATATGTACCTGAGCAATGGCAGACTGTGAAAGAGGGTCGTGGCCGTAGATTGGTTGTACATGACTTTCAGAGGCAAGTAATAGACTTTGAGGCCATTAGTGAGGTAACGGATGCCTTTTCGATTTCCATAAGCATGGGTGACAATTATAACTTTGTGCCCTCTTTCAATCAGACACTGAGAGAGCTGGTAAATGTGGCTTTCCACGCCTCCCATATTGGGATAGAAAAAGTCCGACACCATGCATATATTATGGGTATGGGTCCTACATGTCGACAGACTTCCAGGGCTGACACGGGAGAGCACAGCTGAGGGAAACTGGCCAGGCCCACCTCCTCCTCTACAGGCCATGCTGAGATGGTTTAGGCATTAGTCCTTAGAGCAGCTCAGTTAAGATATGTGTCGTCTAGTACCTGAAAGAGAGAGTAAAACAAGATCTCAGCTCAAAGACAAAATATATTACATTTTCCAAATCCAGATATAAACACTGTTTTATGCTAATGTAAATTTGCCAGCTTTCCCCCTAGAAATAAAACAAAAGCATATAATGAAATTACTCATCTGACATTTACTTGCTTAGCATTTACTACGTGCCATACAACAAAACTAGATTTTGCAATGTCCTTATATTTTAATTTTGCTTTAAAAAAACTCCTACACGGGGGCACCTGGGTGGCTCAGTTAGTTAAGCGTCCAACTTCGGCTTAGGTCACGATGTCATGGTTCGTGGGTTCAAGTCCCGCATCGGGCTCTGTCTGTGCTGACAGCTCGGAGCCTGGAGCCTGCTTCACATTCTGTGTCTCCCAATTTCTCTGCCCCTCCCCCACTCATGCTCTGTCCCCCCCCCAAAACAAATAAACATTTTAAAAAATTAAAAAAAAAAAAAACTCCTACACATAATTTTAAAAAAGTAAGTTTCGGGGCACCCGGGTGGCACAGTCAGTGACGCATCCAACTCTAGATTTCGGCTCAGGTCATGACCTCACGGTTGGCGGGGTCGAGCCCCGTGTCGGGCTCTTGTGCTGACCATGTGGAGCCTGCTTCAGATTCTCTCTCTCCTCTCTCTCTGGCCCCCCTGCCCTCACTTGTGTTCTGGCTCTCAAAATAAACAGATAAATAAAAGTATGTTACATCACAGTATATAAGGATGTGCTATGCTAACAAACCAGTGCATTTCAATAATTAAACATATGGCTCTTTACAGAAAGTTTGCCAACCCTGCTCTAGACCTTAGCCACTGATTCAACAAACCTCATACAATTCTGCGATTCACTCTGTGGTTTATACTAAAATATACCTGGAACTAGAACTGTCTTTTTGACGGTAGCTTTTTCAATATCACCTACAGCACATGTTACAGACATCCACCTACGTTTTCCCCTTCCGTATTCAAGGCTGGTGTTAAAGGGCTCCTTTCATTTTCTTAAACTTTCTTTCAGTTATGTAAGCCTTTCTTCCATGAGCGTCCCTCTCTCTGGTTTGGAGTCTCGAGATAAAGGCTCAGTTAGAGGTGGGTTGGATCTGGGGCCATTTTCTAAACCTTAAGTAGGAAATATTTACTTCAGGGGTCCCTTAGATCCTCATCAGCGCAAAATGCTCAGTATTCGGTACTATTACATATTCTTACTTTTAAAGCTAAAGAGTGTTGTGGAAAGCTAGTGAAAATCTTCCTCAGATTTACAATGGAGATTTCCACACCTCCAGAAACTCAGTGGTACAAGGGAAAGCCATTCCAAAGGTCTGAGTTTCTGATTTCACCTGCAAACTCAGGAAATGCAAATCAACTGCCTGTGCAAAGTCTTAATTCTTCTTGCTAACAAATTCATCTATGTTTTACATATATTCTCAGAAATACTCAGTGTTTCTTGACCTGAACTTACTAATTAAGATTCAAGACTACCAAATTTGGGGAGTCGTCAGTTTTGTACTTTTAAGTGGTTTCAGTAACATTTTCTTACTGTGGTTCGTCACCTACACCTGAATTTCCAGTTGTATTCAATTTAAAAAGATGAGTGATTAAAAAACAAAAAAAAAAAAGGGAGTGAAGGACCAAATGAAATAATCTTAAAAGTTTTCTCATGAACCTGCTAACGTCCTGTGAGGTGTCTGCCTACTTCCATCGGGTTATCACGCCTAACATCTTTCTGGCATAGAAGCTCAACAAATGGCACAATCACAGATTCTTAGATTTTAAAGCCGAAGAGAGGCTAGGAGATCTAGGAATACCTCCCTTACTCTACAAACGAGAAGCCAAACAAGTTGAGCGATTTGCCCACGGTCTCCACCCAGCCACTTAAGTGACAAATGCGAGATGGCCATAAAATCTGCAACCATTCATGGCCAACGAGTGTCTGGGCAGACAGCCGCAGAGGCTCCCGAGGAGCCTTAGGGAGACCCCGAGGGGGCTTGGGTCCGGAGGACGGGCCTTCCACACCCACCCCCCTGGCAATACCCCGACTTCACTCACTGAGAGGTCACCGGGGAGCGCCAGGGCCAAGGAAGGGACGACCCCGCTCAATCAGCAGCCCCGCTGGAGTCAACGAGGGTTCCGCCAGGCCCAAAGGGAGGAAGATGGCCAGACGGCGGGCAGGAGTCTGTGGCTGGGGGTCCGGAGTCCTTCACCCCGCCCGCCTCAATCTCGGCGGAACCGGCTTCAGCGCGGCCACCCCAGCGCACCCTCAGCTCCACTCGACTCCGGTGGCTCTCGACCCCGACTTCCGAGCTTCAAAGCCGCGTCGGCTTCGCCCCTTCCATCGCCGGCCACACTCCCACGAGGGCAGCCCCGTCCCATCCGGAAGCGGCCGAGAGTGCTGGCGCAGGGTCAGACGCGCACTTACCGGCGAGTCCCATGGCCGCCAGTGTCCGGACCTCCCGCGGCTGCAGCCAGAGTCCCACCTCGCTGTCCCGAAACACCAATCCGAGGCGTCCGCGCCCGAGCGCCGCGCCCCCGAGGCAGCCAATCGCAAAGATGCGCTGGCGTCACGTGCGGGAGCGCCGCTCAGCGCCCACCCTTCAGCGCGCTGTGGAACGTCAGTGCGCGTAAGCACATGTTTTCGCGATGTTCAGAGTAACTTGTTTTCTCTGCACAGAAAGTAGTAATCTTTGGTTTAATCTTTCATATGAAGTCTTAGTGTCGCAGATCTCTAGAAACCGGCCCTGGTCTCTTCTTACACAAGCAACCTATCAAGAGCCTTCCTCGGGGTAAAGTCAGAAATCCCAGCGTGACTCGCAGCGAGCCTTTAGGGCTGCTGGGAGTTGTAGTCTGGTGGCCTTTGGAAGTGAAGCTGAACTTCGGAAACTCACTCCCAGGATGCACTGGACTTCTAAGCCCAAATTGTGCAAAAGGTCTGGTGGGTTCGCGTCTTGGTTGCCTGGTTACAGCGTCTCTTTTCTGGAAGCCGGTTCTCAGCGACTTCGGATGGGAGAGACTTTTGGGCGAGAAGGCTACCAAAGGCTGGGGTCACGCTGGCCTTGGGTTTCTGGTTATCTGTGCCGCAGCAGAACCGTGTTTGTTCTTAACCACCCTGCTAGGGTTGCCTGATGTAGCAAATAAAAATACACAGATAAAGAGTAAAAAAAAATCAAACTTTATAAAAATTTGAATTTCAGGTAAATTTTATTTTATTTTTTATTTTCTTTTTAACATTTATTTATTAGTGAGAGACAGAGAGACACAGAGCATGAGTAGGGCAGGGGCAGAGAGAGAGGGAGACACAATCCGAAGCAGGCCCCAGGCTCCGAGCTGTCAGCACAGAGCCGGAAGCGGGGCTCAAACTCGCAAACAGGGACATCATGACCTGAGCCAATGTCCGACGCCCAACCGACTGAGTCACCCAGGCGCCCCTCAGGTAAATTTTAAACAAGTATGTCCCACATATTGGGGACTTGACTAAAAAACTACTCGTTGTTTATCAGGAATTCAAACTTAACTGGCCATCTTGTATTTTATCTGGCAACCTTACACTCTGGAGGAAAAAAAAAATTGAGGTCTGACGTACAATATCAACTCCCACTCAAACTGGTTTTACTGTCTATGGTGGTGCTTGGCCAGGAGGCTCATGAATCGGTGGAAATGGTCTGATGGCCATCTTCCCCTTCCATTTAGTGCCTGGAGTTCCCCCAGCTCCACCATGCATACACTTTCCAGAACAGTTGCCTTCCTGAGCACTATCTCTAGCGCCCCTTTTAAGCTTGTAGAAAACATATTCATCTTCTGAAGATTTCAGCTCCTTTCTGATGCCCTCCCCAGGCCTACAGAGGGAACTCAGTCCTCCCTCTTTTGTGTTTGATAGTATTTTGGCCTTATGCTGGTCTGGTAGTTATCAGGTGATATTCAAGTTGTTTGACTGACTGACAGCCCCCTTCCTCCTTCACCTGATCCTGGAAGGCGGGTGTTGTTTGGATCTCACACGGACTCATTCTGAAAATGATTGCGTTTGCTTGTTAAATGTCTGCCTTCTTGGCCAGATAGTAAGCTGAGGCAAGGCTTGTTCCTAGTAATAGACAGTGACTAAGTCTTAATTGTATTAATGGATTTCTTTAGCCAATACCGGTGCAGTCCCAGTACGAACACTTATACCCAATAAAATGTATTGAAAATATTTTATGGAGTGTACCATATAAATATTACAGTGCAATGATATCATTCAAAGAGCATTTTGGTTGTAGGATCTGAAGTGTTACTAATGAGTTAACTTTAATGAGCTAATGCTGTTTAACTCAAGTAGGAATAGATACCCTGCACTGGGTTGATATTGAAGCATCAGAGAATAAAGACGATGATGAAAGTTCAAGGATGGTACAACATTGCTTTGGACTCCTGTTCATTTTTGCAATAGGTTTTAAGACAAAGGGAGTGGGTAGAGAAACTGGAAAGTATCAATGAGCGTTAAGCCCATGTGTTGAGCCCCTGGTTTGCCAATGCCATAGCTCTAATCACAATGCACATTCGAAATTCTAAGATCCTGATGCCACTATTCCTTCAAATGACTTGTGATCCTTTTCAAAACAGTGTTTTCTACCATCATCACCATTTACTGAGTTCCTGTGCTGTAAAAGGCTTTGTGGAGAATACAAGGAACATTAAACATAGTCCCTATGTTTTAAAAGTTATTTTTAATCCTTTGTAGCTTTTACACACTTTTTGCCAATAGTGACAAGCAATCCACCTTTCTTGAAAGGTTCTTTGTGTTTTAAATACTGTAGCATAGGCTGACCTTTATAAATAGCTAATAAAGGCACACTGGTGCTGAGTCTCTGTTGGAGGGGGAGAGGGTTGAGAAAACTTGCAGGCTGTTCCAATGAGCAGGTGTATGGATTCTGGCAGTCTGAAAACATTGAAATTCATTCATCACATCCCAGTCTCTGACCTAGGCACTGAGCATTAAAGGCAAATAAATCATAATTCTGCACATGGCTCACAATCTCATGTGGGTATGAGACTCTGTTTATAGCCAGTGTAAATTTAAGGCTATCTTCTAAAAGTCAAAAGAAAGTTGTAGCATCAGGGCTAAGCTATAAATCTGAGAATAATTCTAATTATGGTATTCTGCCTAAATGTATGGAATCAAGATATACCTTTAGAGAATTTTCTTAGAAATTACTAAAGTTAGAGTAGAATACTTATATGCAGTGTATTCTGATTACACTTAGTAAAATATGAGGGCAATCAGTACCAGCTGTAGTATAAAATGATCTATAAATGGAGAAGGTATAAAATAAATGTGGGTATCGCCTTCCCTTGAAATCCAGCTCTTTGCAAGTTTCAGCTCAGGTCATGATCTCACGGTTTCATGAGTTTGAGCCCCGCATCGAGCTGTGCACTGACAGTGCAGAGCCTTCTTGGGATTCTCTCTCTCCCTCTCTCTCTCTGCCCCTCCCCTACTCACACTGTCTGCCTCTCTCTAAATAAATAAATAACCTTAAAATGCTCTGAGGGAAGTCCTATTGGAAACTTTCCTCTTGATCGCCAATGGCTATGCTGCAAAGAAGCTCAGGCAAGATACTAAATGATGAAGGGCCACCTGAAGAGAGGCCCTGGAGAGTGAAATTTCGTCTTGGGCTTCCAGCAGCAGAGGAGTTCCCATTCACTGGTCACAAAATCAATGCAATACTGCTTCTTTATTTATTTATTAGAGTACTGTTTGTTAGGTACCTACTAAATGCAAGCCATTGTTTCACACTGAGGATTATGGGTGGATTAGACAAAGTCCAGCTCTTCATTGACCAAATGACCAAATCCATGAAGGTCACAATTTTCACCAAATTACTTTCCTTAAAAACCTTAAAATAGGGGTCCCTGGCTGGCTCAGTCAGTAGGGAGTGTGACTCTTGATCTCGGAGTCATGAATTTGAGCCCCACATTGGGAGTAGAGTTCACTTAAAAAAAAAAAAGCCTTACAATGGATGCTTTGCATCATCTCCTTTATCAAGCATCTCAGTATTTTAATCTCATCCAACTCTGACCATTATGCTGTCGAATCTGTTTCCAGTGCTAATGGGGCTCCCACCACTGCCTCCTTTAGTCACAGCTTTGTGATCTGTACTGCCATATTAATACATTCTCCAGCCTGGTGGCTTAGATAATCAGGGACAGCATGCATCACTGGCACTTGCTGTATTTGCTTTAATCTCTTGGGACTTCTCACATATTTTTGTTTTGCAACAAGGTGAGAATTTTCAGCCCACATTCCAAAGCTATTACTATGATAAATGCTTCTGTGCAGTGAACAGTACATTCTAATAAGGCCTTAGGCCAGCTATCCCACCTCCACACTGAGGGCCAGCTCCAGCCCAGGTCAGACACAGCCTCAGGGATCCAAGTGCAAACCTCTTGGTCCTTACGGAGGGTTAGAAGTACAAAGGCAGACGGCAAATGCATTGCCCTAGCCCAGAACTGTCTATGATATCTCCATCTCAATGGCAGTTAGGAAGCCAGAGCCACTAAGGAAAACATGGTTTGAGTTGGCTTTAGGGAAGATCCAGGAACCCAGTATAAGCTAAAAACTTTGCTCACCGCCTCGCTTCTTTCAGGATGATCCCTTTAATTTGTAAATTACTTTGTATTTTTCAAATAGTTTTCACTTACGGTAATTCAAGTGAAGTTAGCAACTCTGAGAGCAAGGAGAGGAGATGGTCACCCACATTTGGCAGGTGGGGAAACTGAGGCTCCATGAGGCTGCTCAGCCTCATAATGAGATGAGCAAAGTGACTCCTTTGTGTGGTGTCCCTTGGGCTGTCTGCTACCCGTTCTCAAGGGAATTTGACCAAGAACTACAGAGGAGGACAACATGGCAGGAACTGAATGAAGGAACAAAGCTCAGAGTTGAATGCTAATGCACTATGTGCAAGCCCTTTCAGAAGGCTGGGAATCAAACAGCGAAACCAGAAGAAAGAAGGCCCTTTGGCATCAAGGTCATAAAGCGGGGGTAAGAGGAATAGTGACAGGAGAGGAATGACTGGGCCAACGCCACTAAATGACAGCAATGATAACGGCAGCACGATAGGGACTGGTCCCAGGTCAGGTCCAGATCAGCAGTGTCCCCAGGTCAGGGACTGAGAGCTAAAGCCAGGAAAGGAGCAGGGGCCCAGAGCCACAGGCCACAGAGGACTTGGGTGAAGGAGAGGAGAATTCAAGAACTGCTTAGGAACCAAGAAAGGAAGGACAGGGGCTTGGGTCAGGATCCAGCAATTCTACACGTGGCATCAGGAGAAACAAAACCATTTTGCTGTGTTTACTGCTAACCTTCCTCCTTGTTATTGTATAGCTCCATGTGGTCTGGCCTGAGAAACTCGGGTCACACAAATCTGATCAGGACAATTTCTAATGGTAAGGAGGTCACCGAAATGGAGAGGTACACACGAACACAACTATTTACAAAAGTCTTTAGTAAGTGTTGTAATAGATTGTGTATCTATCTATTTCTGCAAGATGCTGGAGAGGTCATCCATTTCTAAGTTATTTGCTAAATAACTTAATTCTGTTCATTAACTTTGCAATTTGCTAAAAACGTAATACTCCTCATGCTGCCTTAATTCTATTAATGCTATATAATTCCCTCCATTTTATCAAACTTTCAGTAAAGTCTACACTATCAAAAGAGTATTTGTGGGAGTGTTTTAGAGAAAAAGCAAGGGAAAGGGCTTGTGCCCCCTTCCTGGGTGGCCGTGGGACCGGGAGAAGAACCCCTTGGCCAAGAGAAGTGGGATGTGCACGACCAGAGAAGGAGTGCACAGCTGGAGGTGGCCAGAAGACACACGCTCTCAAAGATGTCAAGGGCTATCGGTGGGCTCTCCTCCATCATGAGACACAGGTCAAGTTACTTTTACATTGAATCTCAAAGGAAAGACAGATTTCAAGCTGATTCTTGGGTTACATTTGCTTAACCTCCTTTAGAATCTTAAACTTTCTGAGAGTTACTCCCTGGGCCGCCCCAAAGTGCCACCAAGTTTTGTTGTGTCCATGTCCCTCCCCACACCGCCTTCTAAATTCCTTTGTCTCTTTGAAACATATTTTTGGGGTGCCTGGGTGATTCAGTTGGTTAAGCATCCGACTCTTGGTTTTGGCTCAGGTCATGATCTCACGGTTCGTGAGCTCGAGTCCCATGTCAGGCTCCACACTGACAGCGTGGAGCCTGCTTGGGATTCTGTCTCCCTCTTTCTTCCTCTCTCCCACTCGTGCACTCGCTTTCTCTCAGTCTCGCCCTCCCTCTCTCCCTTTCTCTCAAAATAAACAAGTAAACCTAAAAAAATACATTAAAAAAACCCATATTTTTTCCTTCAGCATAAAATTTAGAGCGGGACCATATTAAATAACACAAAATTCTATAGCTTGAATAATGGTGTTTATTTTCTTTAAATACACTTAAATATGAAACAACAGACAGTAGTTCAGTAAACTCGAAACTACAAGCTGGACAGTAATCAGAAAATCAGTGCTGATCCTACAAATCAAAATCTGCATAATAAAGAGTCAGAATAATTCACAAGAGAGTTTGCATTAGTGGAGGACTTGGAGACTATAAAATTGCCTCATCAGCATGGAGTAATCAATACAGCACCTGTGACTGTATGATGATCAAACCTTTCTCATTCACAAAAAAAAAACAAAAACAAAAAAACCCAAAAACCAAAAAACAAAACCAAAACAAAGGTTACATAGGTTCCCTCCTTTCCATTCCTTGCAGTGCAGGGATATCTTCAGGTGGAAGATATCTGTCAGTGAACCAGGAAATCCCAGCTGGTGTGCAATGGAAGGGTGGTCTGGATACACTGTGGTATCAGATAAAATAGAGGGTTTTTTTTTCCCCTAGTAACCTGGGGAAAAAAACCACAGTGACAGCAACTTGGCAAAGCAGCGTGCCATTTAAAATGTCAGGGATGGAGACCTTGGGAAAAAGCGGAGTCAAGGGTTTTCTTGACCGTGGAGCCCATGGGCAGCCCTTTTCTCCTTTGGAAAGCGGCAATGCTTTGCACATGCTGGTTTTCCATTTGCACATGTTCTGGTGTGAAAGGGACATCTGTCCTCACAGCTGTTGCAAAAGAAAATAAACATGAGAATTCAGAATCAAGGACTAAATCCAAAGGAATAACTCTGTTCTGATTTGATTAAGTTTTCAAAGTAAATTTTCCAGATATGTATGTAAAATGTCAATATAAAATCCTGAACGGGTATTCCGCATGGATACAAAATCTATGAAAGCCCAGACGGCAGCCTGTAAGTGTCCTTTATTGATGACTTTCTTGCTATATAAATCCAGTGCCATCCCCTTCCTCGATGAGAAAACAAACCGACATATGTGGACATATATTGAGAGAATGAACCCAAGAGTCTGCGGATCTGAAATCTACCCCGCAAATAATTGTTCAAATCTCATCAATTAAGTCTTTGCTTAAGATCCATAAGCCAACAATAACAGGCAGGATTTTCTTGTTTTCACAAATCAATCATCACTCTATATACTCTGACTTATTCCTTAGTTGCCAAACCTCTGCTTTGCTATCAAAAAAGGGGGGGAGCTGAGAATTGGCAAAACATGCTTTTGGAAGGAATCTCGCCAAATGGAAATGGCATTTACAGTAAATGTCAACGAATAAAATTAAGGTGAAAGTGAAATGCCTTTCACCTGCAGGTGTCTGGGTGAAATATCTTGTGCTTCTGGCAGCAGCTCTCCAGGCTTTCTCTGCACTCAATGCAACTGCAGTTTTCCGGGTGCTGGATGAGATCTCTGGGACACGGGGTTTTACACACACACTCACAACGATCTTCATCAAACTTCATGTGTGGCCCACAGACAGCGAGTTCCTGGAGATGAGAGTGCTCTAAGTGGAAACAGAAAAGTGTTGGTTGAATGGCTATAGCACGGATAATGTGGCGTCAACGTTGGTTGTATACTTCACATTATTCTAAAATAACTTGGATTCTCCTAGTCTCCATTCCTGTAGATTTTTGCCCCTAACCTTTTCATAGGGTGAAGGAGATTCACCTCTGATTTCATGATACCAATACTGAATTCATGTGTTCTCTTAAATTTGGGATAAAGATGTTATTTTTTTAACTAAGATTTTTTTAAAGAGAACTTTAGGTTGGTGACTTCCTAGTTTTTAGATGAAGAGTAAAAGGAGAGAGGAACAGAAGTATCAGCAGTATAGAAATACAGAAATATACCCCAGGCCTTCCAGACTGGATAGAAACAGTGATGTATTTCCTCACCACAGATCACAACGCTGTTATAAAAGATACAACAGTGATGATAAACTTTGATTCCACAGAACGCGTTCAGCTGAGAGGAGGGTCTCAGAAGTTTTTGACACACTTAGTTGACAGCTATTTCTTCTAGAAAGCGTACACGACAATTGGATAACTACTACTCCGTGTGCAGTTCTGATCATCAAGTTGAAATTCAGTGCAGAAAATGGATGAGACAGAAACTTTGGAAGAACTTGACTATGACACTTTAGCATTCTTGAAGGTTTTGGAGGCAAGTACATGTCTAGTTTCTTCCCCAAACCTGCTTCTCTCCCAATTTGCCTCCTTTAGGGAATGGGGCCATCACTCCGGACTCACCTGCCATTTTGGGTCTTATCACTTTGTCCACCCAGTTCTGTCGCCCTAAGTTTGTTCTATCATTCCCATCATCACTGCCACCACCTCAATTCAGTCAGTGCCTTATACTTTTGTGTGTAGATGGCCGTCACAGATCTTGCCATCACACGTTTTATCCCTTCAATCCATTTTCCACAATATTATCAAATGCAAATCTAATCACGTCATTCTACAGCTTTAAGTTCCTTAAGAGGTTCCCCTCTCTTACAATAAAAGAGTATTTTCCCACCAAGACGTATGAGACCCTCCATGAACTAGACCTTCTGAACTAGAACCTTCCAGACTCTTCTCTCTCCCTCTCCCACTCCCCCCTCTCATAAATATCTTATGTTCCACCCATACCAAATTATACTACCTTTTATTCCCCTGATATGCCAGGGTCTCTAAGCCCCATGCTTTTGGCCTTGCCCTTGCCCCTGCCAGTTATCTTTCCTCCCAGATATCTTTCCCAACTTCTACAATTTTAGCTAAGTGCCCTTACCCTGTGCATATTTTCATCCTGTCCTTTCTTGCATTGCTTACATGTGTCTATTTCCTCCATGAATTAAAAAATGCTGAAGGTTATGGGAACCAGATCTCATCATTCTGACATGAAATGAGCACTTGATAAACGCTGAGTGCATTTGGTATAATAAAAGGGTCCGAAACAGGCTGCTGTATGAAGACTCTGAAGGATCCCATCCATCGTTCCAAGACATTGGGTTAAACCGTATGTTTTTGTCAATATCTGACTACTGACAATATACCAAAATGGCAATCTCATGTTGTCTAATCTTCTAGTTTTAACGGCTCTGTGATTGATATTTGATGATATTCCACCTGTGTGGAAAGGGTGTTGGAAGGCTAAATCTGGGGAGATTCTTGGAATTGCATAAAGAGGAAAAAAGTGAGCTTTGTAAGCCATATGCCAATAAGGCATATGCCACTTTCGGGAAAGAGGTGAATATATTATTCCCATTGGATATTCTTTCCTGATTTGTCAAAGACTAATTCACCATATAACTGTGGATTCATTTGTGGGTTTTCTATTCTGTTCCATTGATCTATGTGTCTATTTTTTTTTCAACGTTTTACTTATTTTTGGGACAGAGAGAGACAGAGCATGAACGGGGGAGGGGCAGAGAGAGGGGGAGACACAGAATCGGAAACAGTCTCCAGGCTCTGAGCCATCAGCCCAGAGCCCG